GTAACAACAGCTCCAAAAAACAACAATACTAGAGAAAATACGGCTCCAAAGCGTGACAATACCAACAAATGATGGCTTCACAGAACGACGACACTAGCAAAATGACAGCTTCAAAATGTGACGACTCCAACAAAATGACGACTCCAACAAAATGGTGACTCCAAAGAGTAATGACACCAGAAAAACGGCGGCTCCAAAAAACAACAGTGCTAAGGAAAAGACAGCTTTAAAAAAAGTAAACTAATTAGTAAAAAAAAATAAAGAAAACAGAAAAATATATAATAAATAAAATCTATACTTATCTTGTAGATCTGTATAACCACCCTTGATTACTTGTGATCGATGCCATACCCCGCACACAGTGCACTCTGCACAAAAAATAATAATTCTAATATTTTATTAGCTTATATATTAATTTTTATTTTATTTTTTTTATATTTTTTTTATTTTTTAAACACTATAAAGTAGATAGATTTCTTAATTAATATATATAGATAGTAAATTGTTATTTTATTAGTTTATATTTTAATTGAATTTAGAAGTCATATATAATTGATGACAGTGTGGATATAGATAGTAAAACCGCTTAGAAGCTCTAGCTATACGAATATGATGGATATCTATCTTACTAAGTTTTACTAGCTTATATTCTTTATATTGGTCTTTATCTTTCGGCCCACTATGAGATTATTAATTCTAAATTCTTTTAATATATAATTATATTTTTTTACTTTTTTTTTTTTTTTTACTTTAGCGATCCTACCTTTATTTTATTTATCAGAAGTAGATTATAAAAATGCCTTAGCTAGCTAGGTTTACATGCAAATTGCTAAACTACTATATTCCTGTACAAATAAAGATTCTCTTGATCTGTCTCATTATCACAGTAAAAGCTATAGCCAAAGTCCAAAGTTTTTACGCTAGAGTATGACCCAGGAGCGACCCGTCTAAGTGACAATTTTCCTCCTTCCGGGATCCTCAACTTACTGAGAATATGAGCCTTGGACATCAATAGATGGAAGCACTGACCTTGTCAGAATCACCGCTCTACAATAGAGTGCCACCAATCTGATAACACTTTCTTGTAGAGAAGTAAAAAAGAAAAAAAAAGGGTAAGGGCAAAACAAAAATAGGAAAAGTAAAAAAAAGAAAACAAATAAGAAGACGACCAAAACATAAAGGAATCTAAAAAACTATCCTAAAATCTAAGAAAACTTGTCTACAGATATAAAAACCTGCTAACCAGGTGAAAAACTATCTATATGGTCGTAGAAATCTATACATAGAGCTATCTGACAAAAAGAAAACTAAGAACTACAATGCACTTTAACCTGTGCCAAGGGCTAAAAATTATATGCATATAACTTCGGAATATTGCATATCTCTAAAATATCGCTCCAGTTTACAACTCTCATAGAATCTATTTTGAATCCTAGAATGCTGATTTTAAAGCCTCGATACATGATTATCAGTTCTATTTATACTGAGCCACTCTTTCTGAATTATGAAATCCTCTAACAGTCTTCAACATCTTGCTTCTTCATTATACGAGATTAAATAGAGGGTCTTCCCTATAGTCTACCGGCATCATTAAAAGCTACTCCCTTAGGTCCGTCGCATAGGGCCTTCATTCCTGTACAGTCATAGCCGACCAACACAGGACTTCCATGTACTTCGATTTAACCCAAATAGAACTTCCTCCTCACACGTGATTGTTGTGTTTCTCATTCGTCATATCGTAACTCGAGACCTTCCGAAAATGAAAATGTAAACAATGCCAATCTTTTGAAGAGGGTAGCCAAATCCTCCACTTTTTGTCGAAAATTATAAAAAAAAGAAAACGGCAGATGAAAAGTATAGTTTTGCGAGTTTTTCAACCAAAGAGTGTTGTTCCAAGAGTTTTTCATAGCCTTCTGTTCCAAAATAACTTGAGCCTTCTTTCTACTTACTGTTCCCAGAGACTCCTCCGGTTTGGATGCCGAACACAAAGAGGAGTCTACCCAAGAGAATTAGCAGAAAGAGTTTGCCCTCTTTGCAAACCATCCAAAATACCCGCTCCTCGGTGTATCACGTTTAAGACTTCGTCGACAACAGTTCACAGTAAGAAGGCTTCAAGTTATTTGTTTACTTCTGGTTTTGAGTCTTCACTTTCAGAAACTGGTTAGTACAAGTGATCGTCGGGAAGAGTTGTTAATATATAATTATAATTTAATATTTTACTAGCTTATATATTAATTTTTTATTTTAATTTATAATTTTAAATTATTATTTTACTAACTTATTAATTTTTAATTATAGATTTAATTTAATTATTTAAAATTTTAACTATGCTACCTAAATGTAAAACTCTTTCTACTCCTCCACATATTACTGATGATGAATATTATAAAGAACTTTCACTACCAAAAACACAAGCTAAAAAAGCTAGAAGATTAGATAGAAAAAGAAAAACTATTACTAAATAGTATATATCTATATCTGCAATATTAGTTTCAACAACAACAATAGCAACAACAGCAACAACAATAGCAGCAACAATAGTACCAACAATAGCAACAATGACAGAAACAACAACAGCAGCAACAATAGCAACAACAACTACACCAATAGTATCAACATCTTTTATAGCACCTTTAGCAAATTTAGAATTAGCATCAATATCAGGTGGATCACAATCATTTATTTTAACAACATTATTAACTAAAATTGCAGAATCAATATCTTTAGAATCATAATCAACTTCAATAATAACTCAAAAAGAAAAAAATCGAAATAAATTACAGCAATAGAGAAATAATTTAACACCAACAAAATGTAGTGAAATACGAGAATTAGATAAAATTCAGTATAAAAATTATAGAACAACAAATTTGATTCAACAAGCAAATAGATATAGAAATATTGCAAAATATAGTTTGAATGATTTTAATTTTGAATTAGAAGATAGCTTTGATCTTTCTATTTGGCAACATAAACTTAGTAATTTAAATATTAGATATAATTATTGTCAAGCTTTAAAGTGGAAAAATGAATCACCAGGGTTTTGCTGCCTTAATGGTAAAATTAAATTAGCATTATTTGAACCACCTCTACTAGCTATATCACAGTTATTAACTAGATTTGATATTACTACTAGTGAGAGATATATTCAAAATATAAGGTTCTATAATTTTGCTTTTGCTTTTATATCTTTAGGCATAACTACAAATCGTAGCATATTTGAAGTAAACAAATCTTATATTTTTAGAATTCAAGAAGCTTTATATTATAATATAGGTTCTTTAATATCACCAAGTGAGTAGCCTAAATTTGCATAAATTTATTTCTATAATAGTAATTTTGATATCCAGTTTGCTTTAAGGAATAAAATATCTCCAAATTTAATTTGGATATGATGAGATCTTTGCAAGCTGAACTTGATCATATTAATCCTTTTGTTCAAATATTTCAAAGTGCTAGACGGCAGGCTACAAGAAATCCTGCTTTAAAATTAAAAATTTCTAATATATCTTCTCAAGTTATGAGAAATTATAATTTACTAGTTGTTTCTGAAATTGCTGCTATAATTACTGATGATGATACAATTGATTTTGGTAGAGATATTATTCTTACTACACAACAGGGTTTTTTGCGACATATCTCAGAATTACATAGTGCTTATGATTCTTTACAGTATCTACTCCTTTTTCTAAAAGGAGAGTATGGATGGTATACTGGAATTATATATTCAACTGTAACTGATTAGAGTTCTAATACTAATGATAATTTAAATTTTAATTATAATCAATTAAATCTTTTACCATTAGATCTTACTGATTCCTAGCAACAATGAAAATATATAACAATTAGAAAATTCACATGTCATAGATTACAAATAAGAGATCCTAATAGCATTTTACATCTTGCTAGTCGCTTATTTTAGCAATATATCATTGACCAGTATGCAAAATAGAAGCAAAATAATTTAAGGTGGTTTAAAAATAATTAACCTCAATTACAGGTTAAATATTATAAAGAATTAGAAGATATCATTAATAATGATGAAGCTAATCCTCTTGAAATTGGAAAAAAAAATTATTTTGCCTTTTTCAT